AAAAAAACTTTAAAATATTATGATATCATTTACTGCCCCTGAAGGGTTTTATTTCATGGGTAGTGCCTGCCCCTCAAAGAGTTAAGCCAAAAAACCTAGTTTTCAACAATAGAAAAATCATTCAAAATCGTTTATAACATCTAAGATGATAGTTAATTCAATTAAACAATTAATGTACCTACTTTTATATCAACTATTATGTAGAAATTAAATTACGGTGAAAATTCCATGTATCTATGGTCATTTGTTTCTAGCCAAGAATTTCTACCCAAAAATTAATTTTTATCAAAATTAATTTTAAAAAAACAAATAATGATCGAAAATTTCAAATGCCTATGAATAGTTCAACTTAAGTCAAAAATTTTTGAAAATTGCATGATGGATAGAATATACTTATATAAACATTCGGTGAAAATTTCATGTATCTATGGCCATTTTAAAGTTACATCAAAATGCAAAATCGATTTTGTTGAAGACTGATTGTGCGTAAAATTTCCTGTTTTTCCCTTAATTTTTAGTTTGTTTTTCTCGATTATTTAGAAAAGTATTAAGAATTTTTTACTTTTGACCCTCCAAAGTACCAACTAGATACATTTTCTGATTGAACCAGGTACTGAAGTCAAAAATCAAAGTACTTTTACTGCCCCAAAACGTGATGACAGACAAAMAMAAAAAAAAAACACACATCATGGTAAAATCAATACATTCATCGCTCCGCTCAGAATCTAAAATAATCTTACAATTACTGTTCAATTGTTCAATAAAATAAAATAACATATAGTTTTGATTAGAAATGGGCCAATACTAGAACTGATACCACATATCAGTGGTATCGATATTTTTTCAAAACCGATAATATTCAATCAATACAAAAAAAAACCTATTGAAAAGCATAGTATATTAAAACATTTACAAATTCACAGGTTAAATTATCAATACTACAAATTACAATAATATTTAACGACATTATTATTTTAAAAATTTAAAATTGTAATATGTACATTTGATAACAATTAACAAATAACAATATAATAAGTTTGATTTCAATAATAGTATTAGTAAAAAATTATGATTTTTGACCTTAGACATTGATGTCATACACCAAAGATTTATCCCTGGAGAATAGCAATGCAGTTAGATATGCATATGATTACAAATTGTATTCTCTGTTTTTACTTTTACCTAATTCAGAATATTACATTCATATTTGTCTAAGTAATATTTTTCTTTCTAATAATATTTTAAAAAACAACCCAACTTCTATTCACTGTTGATTTAAATTATTAATACACTAACTGCAAAAACCAAAAATTATGTTAGTATAGTATGAAAATACATTTACATTTGATAAGAATATCAAAATTTTAGTTACAAATTTTCTGAAATTGTGTATTTAAACTGTACATTTAAAATTTCAAAAATGTATATTCTAATAATTAACTTGAAAATCATTGAAACAAGAAGTTTCCTAAAAATTTAAGCATTCCTTCAAGAGTTTATAGATACAAAGTAGTTCAATTTGAATAACTTACAATTAAATGGCGTTTTTTAAATGTATCATCAATCTCTTGATCAATGTACATTTTCAGGAAACGTATCATTTCTTTTGGATTATTTTCACAGTAATTGTAATATATCAGTATTTGTGATAAAATAATAAGCCTTCTTTTTGGGCTTGGAAAAACACCATACATCATGTCTAGTGTTTTCACAAGAGGAAATTTATCAACAGGTTGTAACAAGCACTCTACTTTTATTAATTGCAATGAACTACTAAAATGACCAGCAGCCATTCCACGAGATAAATGAATTTTTGCCTTTTCATAATCCTGAAATAAAACAATAATTTGCTTAGTTATTTTTTCTTAATAATAATTAATTGATTAATATCTTACCTTTTCATGTTTTAGATAATATTTGCCTAAAACTTGATCAACACGGCTATTTTTAACACTTTCCAATTTTTTAATTAAATTGTCCATAATAGATTTTGACAATAACTCTTTAGGATAATCAATACATGTCAGTAGACAAGAATAAAGTTGTTTTGTATCGTCATTGGCTAATTCAATTGCTTTTCTATCAAAAACCAATCATTTAAAATATACAATTGTTTAATGAAAACAAATAAATAAGTAAATAAGAACAAAMGGGATTGTGAACAAAATAATAAAAATTGAAATATTTTGATTGAATAATGGTTAAAAATTAATAAATTCTGAAAGATAATTCAGTTTTTGGAAAACTATAACATGAAACATAATCTAGGGGCTTAATAATTTGTTATAGAATATTAAGTTATTATTATTTTTATTAATTCATTAATACCTTTTAGGTGATATTTACATAGAATAATTACATACTTAGTAATATCTGATGAAAGCTCATAAAATTTTTGTGATTCATCTTTGTTGTTTTTTAATTTATTAACAAATGCCGCTTCCATATATAATTTAGAAGCTTGAATTAAATGTCGAGCCTTAGTTTTTGTAGAGCATAATATTTCTGCAGCATCCATTTCATCATCTTCTGGCATTGTATATTGTTGGTAATAACGTCTTACTCGTCCTTTGGCTTTTAACCAAATGATTATCCATTCAGGTTCAGTAGAATGAAGAGTACGGGCTCGATAAGCAAAATTTAAAGCAATATCATTTCCCTTAGGAGGATATTCCATAAATATCCTGGATTTAATTGCACAAACTGCAGATTTCTCTGCTCGATTAAAACTGTTGACTTGTTTAATATTCTTTAAAAACTTAAAGAGAAAAAGGCATTAGTTTAATGATTTTTACAAATATAGTTTCTCCYTATTGATAAATTGATTTATATGATGTATAATTAATATATTTTTAAAACACGTAGGTCGCTTACTGTTAAGGATTTAATGTTTGAATTGGATCTCTATATGATCTATAATCAGTAGCATATTTTGGGTGATTTCTCGAGGGGAATCCAACATTTAATGAATATATATATAATAAAATAAAATTAGTTAATTATAAAAAAAAATGATAATACCAATATTAAGGATTTTTTTTTCAGGTGGGGGTGTTCAGACATGGAAGACACTCCTCCAAAATACGCCACTGAAGAAATATATTATTGTGTGTACTCATTATAAGTGGCTTAATCTTTAATTTTATTATATAAATTATCAATAATATTATAATAATACATAATACATGAAATATAAAATGAAAAACATTCATAGATAGCAATAGGATACTGATAATTTTGAATTCAAATCTTCCAATCTTCGCAACAAGAAAAAATTATTAAGAATCCTAGAAGATAACAAAAGCTGAATCTGAATTCTGAATCTAACTGTGAGATTAAAAAGGTTCTGGATTTACCGTAGTAATGCGTAGGATTATGTTTAGAATAAATAAGATGCATATGGAAGAGCATCAATTATTATTATTATAAGAGGGTTAAACACTTAGATTTATTTTAATAATTTTGTATACAATATATAGACTCCAAAATTACATTAAAAGTGATAAATATAACAGTAGATCATTATTAAAATAATTATTTTAATTATCATTGGTAATACCAAGATAGATATAGGAAAAATTAAAATATTTAATTAATCCAATTAGTTCTATTCAGTTATACTGTAATGACTCATTACACTTTTACAACACTAGACCATTAAATTAATCAAATCAGAATTTACGTAAGATACTAATTTTTTAAGAGGATGTCAGCGCACTATTTGTTTTCTCTGTCTGGCTCACTCGTAACATAGACAAAACGCATATACGCAGAATCTTTTTTTCTATATCTTGAAGTAATTTTAGAGTAAAACCTCCCATTACAAAAAAGATAGAAAATAATATTTTTGAGGGAA